CTGCTCGTGGTATACCGGATATCTGTCTATTGACATCCTTTAATCTGCTCGTTGTATACCGGATATCTGTCTATTGACATCCACTTGATAAACTGTAATGACAACAACATGACTCTATTGTTTAATCTGCTTGATGTTTTAGTAACTGTAATGGGTAAAAATATGAGACAAATTATATACGGTATGTTTTACTTGTTTTTGTGTCGTTTTAATGATATCAAATCATTTCCAGCATTATTCTGTGTACACAAAGCTGTATAATTCCCAAGTGTTCTAAATGATTTTATTAGACGTTCAGAAACACTGGGAAAGTAAGATATACTTTCTAGAAGGTTCTGGGATGTCAGTTTAGAATAATGTATTTCCTTTCATTTTGTGACAAGCGCAGTTAACAATAATTGGTTGAAAACTGTTACTGACTGTCACTCTTACCAAATTCTCAACCTTTATTGGAACTGACCTAACCTTTTTGTGGGTCAGGATTTTGGTTTGTTTTGACTTTCGCTCAAAGCTACACGAGGGCTATCTGCTCTAGCCATCCCTAATTTAGAAGTGTAAGACTAGAGGGAAGGCAGCTAGTCATCACCACCCACCGCCAACTACTCTTGGGCTACTCTTTTACCAACGAATAGTGGGATTGACCGTCACATTATAACGCTCCCACGGCTGGAAGGGCGAGCATGTTTGGTGGGAAGACGATTCAACTCGGAGTCGAACGCCCTAATCACCTGGCTAATGCTGGGTCAGGATTTAATTCATTAAACTTGGTTTCATCAGATATTACTCTGAGTATTCTGTTTAGGTAACTTTCTCTACCCTAAACACCAACACTACTCGCTTTACCTAATTTGACCATAATCATTTCTTTATTTTGATTTAAATGGTTAATTGTTTCAATGTATGCTTTAGTTACATATAACTTACTTTTATACAATTAGAAATAAGTTCATGCAGCTTTCTGTAATCTCTGTGACAATGCTATCATTGTTTATCGATGTGAACGAGATTATGTTGATTCAACCACGTGGCGATTTGAGCAACGTATTGTTACGACAGCAGAAGCCACGTGACGCTAGTAACACGTGATGAGTATCTAGAAGATTCACGAAGAGACGAGATGTACGCTTTTATAGTATATAAGCCGGAAAATAAAGTGACGGCAAGAATATAGTTGCAGATAGAGAGATTGAGGATATAGACACGGATAATCGAGTCAAGCGGACACCGTAAGTAAAGTGCGTGAATCGTTCTGAATTATAGCGTGTGTTGAAGTTAAGTGACTGTGGAAATTAAGTGTATTTCAAAGTTAAATTGAGAAAGAATAAACTAGTTTTATTTAAGAAAGGACTTGTATCGCTGAAGTTTTTCAGAAGGAATTTTTTACGGGAAAATAACAATCGACTAGAGACGTAACAATATAAATATGTAGACGGGAAAAAGAACACTGACGTCCTATATAATTCCAATAATAAGAACCTGATGATCAAGACAATAAACGAATGTTGAACTCGGATTAAGGCTATAGAAAACTCTGAATATATATGGCAAGTTTTTCTTTGATAGATTGATTAGGCAGAATATTCATGATGAAACTTTATAGAATGGATTGCAACTGCATGTTGTAGAGGACAACGTTTCGAAAGTCTTTCGCCTGAAAACGAAAGACCTTCGAAACGTCGTTCTCTACACTTGTGTCTCTACAACAGGCAGTTGCCGTCCATTCTACAAAGTTTCATCAT